ATGGAACGGCTTGCCTTCAGAAGTTGTGGGAGCTTCATCACTGGAGGGTTTCAAGAAGAGACTGGGCTGTCAGAAATGGTGTAAAGTCTCCTGCTTGGAGGGGGGGGGGTTGGACTAAATGACCTACAAGGTCCCTTCCAACTCTGTTAATCTAATCTAGTGGCGACTGTCTGCAACAGAAGAGAGATTGCCCTCCAAATATACCTCCCCACTTACTTCATAAGTTTCTAGGTATTTGGCTCTTTGCTCGGGGTTCATGGGCACCGACTCGTCCAAGAACTTCTTCAGGGAAGAATCTTTTTCTAAAATAGACAGCATTAATACAAAGAAAGAAGAATTAACATTAAAAAGTATGGCTTGCACGATGGCACACGACGCTTTCCACTGCTTCTTATGTTGCAGGTAAAATAGCAACAGCGCTTAGACTTAAACACGGCTTAAGTAGTGTTTTACAGCCCTCTCTAAGCAGTTTACAACGTCAGCATGTTGCCCCCAACAATCTGAGTCCTCAATGTCACCTAAAGGACACCCGTGTAACAAATGAAGAAGTTTCTAGGAATTTTCTAGCTTATCCACTTGGTAAACAGAACATAAAAACAGGGAGATGTTCCTACAGAACGTATACCAGGATGAGTTAAGCTACTTTTTGTTAAAATGGAAAATCACAAAACTGCATTTCACTTATTTCGGAAGTGTAATGTGGAGGAATTCGCTGGAGGAAAGCAAGAATGTTTGGAAGAGTTAGCGGTAAAAGGAAAGCAGGCCATCAAAGAACATGGTAGACTCGATTTCATTGAGGGCAGCATCAGGGTTGTGTTTGACCTTGTGGGGGGGCTGGGATGGGTGTGGCCAGGGGGGACGTGGCCAGCTCGACGTCACTTATGTCAGGGCGCCAGTAGTGGCCAACAAAAACGGGCTCCCAAGCTCCGTTTTTGGCTGCAATGGCCTCCTGCAACCCTCTGCCAGCGAAAACAGAGCTTGGGAGGGCCGTATGCAGCCTTCCTGAGCTCCATTTTTCGCTGGCAGAGGCACCCTGGGCCGGTCCTTCACTGTTTCCAGGGTGGCCTTTCAGGCCAGATCTAAGCACCCCACAGGTGGGATCTGGCCCCCCAGGCCTTGAGTTTGACACCCCTGTGATAGATGGACACCGTCAAAGCTGACAGCAGCCAGAGCATAGAAAGACTCAAAAAAGTCGGTAAAAAAATGTAAATTTAACACAATAATAGTTGGTTGGGAAAACAACTGCCTGCGAAGGCTCCTGGATCATGGCTGAAAGGCAAAAGCAGAAGCAGTATGCTCCGTCCAATAATTGGGTAGACCAGGTTGCCCTGGTTAAAAAAAAAACAACACTTCCTCAAAGAAGTAGTAGCGCAGAATTGGAAGATGTGGAGAGGCCCACAGAATCACCAAGAATTGGACACAACTGAATGGACATCATCATGATCACCATCAACAGCGTTAAGATAACGTGGTTTTGGCTAGTATAGGTAGTCCTTGATTTACGGCCAAACTTCTCTTGCCAAGTGAGACATCTGTTAAGCGCTGTTTTGCCTCATTTTGAGACCTTTCTTGCCACCACGATTAAGCGAATCGTCGCAATTGTGACGTGAGTAATGTGGTTAAGGGAAATGGGTTTCCCCATCGACTTTACTCATCAGAAGGTCTCAAAAGGGGATCGCCTGACCCTGCGACCGTCATAAAAAGGAGCCCGTTGCTGAGCATCAGAATTTTGATCTTGTGACCCTGGGAACGCTGCAAGTGTGAAAAACGGGTCAAACAAGTCACTTTTTTCCAGGGCTGTTGTTAACTTTGGTCACTAAATGAACCGTTGTAAGTCTAGGACTACCTGTACCCTGTAAATACTTTTCCATGGGTCATAAAAAGTTGCCAACAATCTTCCCTGGGGAAGGCTCTGACTAGTGCTCTGCGTCGGAGGCAGAGATGGGGCCAAGGCCGTCTGACAGTTATCAGCTGCCTTCGGAGTCGGACATCAGTGAGGTAGAAGAACACCTGGAGCCTGTTCCCAGTGTGCGCATGCGCAGAGCTGTCAGAAGAAGGGAACAGCTCAGGAATAAGGGTTGACTTGGGGAGTAAAGCCACAGGTGGACGGTGAATGGCCCCTCCCATAGGGAATAAAAGAGGAGTGAGGTTTTACAGGAGACAATCAGTTCATTTGGGTGAAGATCTGTTCCTGCATTCTTGCCAAGTATTATCTGCTACAGTGTGGCATCTGAAAGATATCGGCCTTGCAACTCTCCAAGCCTGATAACGGTCTGTAATTGCGAAATATCTTGAAAGACTGTTGGCCGGGACTTTCCTGGAGAAAAAATTCACTGTAAACTAAATAAAAGGGGTTTATCGGGGCAAGGAGTCAGCTTCGTGCTGTTGGGGAAGCCTAGGTCAGAACACCAACCGCTGAAGAGTAACCTGGGAGAAAGGAAAGGTTTACCGAAGTCGATTTTATCCCTGTTGTTCGCAATGGCGTGAATGAGGCCGATGGTTCCGCAGGCGTTGCTAATGGTCTGCTTCATGAAATAGACACCCGGTTTGACTTCTTGGCCCTGGGCTTTGATCGACTCTTCCTCTTTCATCCTGAATGTTTCATACTAGGTAGCAAGGAAGAGGGGGAGATTTTTTTTTCTTTCAAATTCCCCTTTTCAAACCATCCATTTTTACAAAATAAACAGCGCTTGCCAAAGAAAGAAAGAAAAAAACCCATTCAGGACCTGGGAATAAATTTTTGCTCTAAGACAATTATCAGCTAGAACGTGGTGGCCTAGCAGCGAAGATTCACTTGCCTCCCATGTGGAAAGTTGAGAGTTAAATCCTAGGTAACAACAAGTATTTTTCTCCTAGGGCGCAAAGAAAAAGTATCTGCTGTGAACTCCACGCAGGCGCCGGGAAGGGCACCAGCCAGTAAATACTCAGTTCCATCGAATCTACCCCGAAATTAAAAGATTACAAGGGTCGTAAAAAGGAAGGTTTTTTTTTTTTTAAATTATCAACTAGAAGGTTCTGCAGGCCTTGCAATGCCCTTCCTTGGTTTGCACCCAAAATGCACACCAAATGCACAATTCTCCCACCTTCCTCATGATGCATTGTCTTGCTAGGAAAAAAAATTCATCTTGTTTTCCAGAACACTAGAAAAATTCAGTTTCTATGGAAGGCCATATAGAAAGGCTGTGGACCATTAAAAAATTGCCTTTCTCTCTGCTTAGCAGTCTTTAAAGCGGGGATCTCCAAACTTAGCAACTTTGAGACTTGTGGACCTCAACTCCCAGAATTCCCCAGCCAAACATGGGGCAACACTCACTTCCAACAGATTTCTCCCTTAGCAACCTAAGGGCTCAAGTTATGGTCGATAAGTTGAGGACTTTCAAGGGGGAGCGCCCTTCCCCGGGGGAGGGGCGGGAAGACCCCCATATTCTACCTACCTTCTCGGTGACCGGGAAGAGCAGCATCAGGGCGCAGACGGGCCGAGGCACCAAGCCGAGCAGCTCAGGGTCGGAGCCATAGACGTCCACGAACTGCCAGCTGGGGTAGATGCCCAATTGCCGGAGGAACTGCCGGGAGACAGACAGACGGACGGGCAGACGGGCCAATCATTGCCCACCGCCTCCTCCACCCATGCCGCCCTCCTCTTCCTCACCCCTCCCCCACCCGGGGATGACCTCCGACCTGAGGGGGATGCAGACCCTGGAGAGACGGCAGAGCAGCTCACCTGGTTCGTTACCTGAAAGCCAGAAAGGGGGGGAAAGAGGGTCAATCTGAGA